GATCTGGTGCTGTGACATGTCCATTGCTGCAAGTGCAGAAAAGCATCTCCATGATTATGTGGAAAGCTCAATGACAGCACGAGCAAATTACGTTTCTTGAAGAAGGGCCCTTCATCTCCATGAATGCGCAAGAAGACATCATTGGGTCCTGCATCCCCAAACCCATGCAACCACAACTGCAACAGCAGTCACACGATACTCTTTGTTCCATATTGTTGCACCTGCGGAGGACAGAACCTCCTGCAACTCCGGCACCTCTTGAATCAAGTCCACTAGCCTAAGGTCACGAGCAACAACCAACCACCAGGACAAAACAGTTCTGGATGATCACTGCAATTGTTGTGGAAAATGTCAGGCTCAGATACATGAAAACTTGCAATCCAGGTGCACTTGCCGTTCTGATTCAGAGCTTCTCCCATAAACCATGTGTTTCAGTAGCGCCTGCCGCTTCTCCAGCCATTTGAACCAGGAGCTCGGCCGAATGAAACCTGGCATCAGAATATCAAAGGATTTCACGATCACCCAGCCCAGCTTTCAAATAATACAAAGCATAAGCATAATGCGACTGAGGAGCTAAATGCTTTCATGTGCAGTTTTTTTTTAATCTGCACCGGAAACTTTATCAGCTCCACTTTAGGCAAGCAAGAAGCTAGCCTACTGTGGAACCGAGCCTCCTTTGTGATCGTCGCAAGCGTCCGGGTCATATAACGTTTCGATCCTTCTTGAACAGCTGCATCACACATTGTGCCACAAAGGAAACTGACATCTGCAGATTTCTTGCGAAGGGATTTCAGCACAGCATTGGTCATGGGCGTCTCGCACATGTGTTCCAAGGCGGAGTAGCCAGCATCCAGACTTTGTAAATGCGCTGGCAGCTTTGAGAAATCAATGCTCTCCAGTTTCCGTGCCTTCCTCCTGACACCGTTCAGGAAAGCATTGGCCTTTCGCTTGAAGCGAAGCCCCTCAGGGGATTGTTCTTGCCTCAGATCGAAGTAACACACACATGCATGTACACACTCACAAGCGCGTGACAAGAACATGACAGCGCAGACAAATTGCAGATCATCAGCAGACTTCCGTGCAGTAGTCGGCCCTGCGAGGGGGCAGAGCAATGAATCAGTGAACAAAGCTACAAAAGAGCACACTCACGCGCTGCCGAAACCATTCAAGCGTCTTTTGACTGCCGCTTGCACTCGCAGCTCCGGCTTCGCGTAGGCTGGCCCCCAAAACGTTCAAAGTAGGATGAAGAAAATCATCGTCGTCACATGATGCCATCATATGATCAAATATGATGGCCGTGCCCCAGCTGCAGCACGAAGACCTAGGTCGTCTGCTTCTTCACGGTCCTGCAGCACCCGAGGGCGAACTCCTGAACAACAGATCTGGTGAAACATCTGGCAACTGGCAAGGTTCAAGACATAATCAGGAAGCAGTGCAGCATGGCTCCTCCTTGGCCAGGTAGGCAAAGTAAGCTCGCGCAACATCCTGCCATGCTAGGTCCACGCATAGGATATGGAATTCTGTTACAGAGTTCTGTCGCAGAATTCCATATACTATCCATGGATCTTGAATGGAGTCCTTCATAGCAGCCACCCAGGTCTCCTCAGAGTGCTGATCATCGATCTTCCGCAAGGCCTCAACTAATGAACACTGCACATGACATGATGAAGGCTTTGCTCGGAAAGCATAACAGGATGAAGAAAGCATGTCTTGCGACGCCTGCCAACTGGCATCCATCGTAGCCTTTTCGTTCACGAGGTCCTCTACCGCCTTGGTCGATGCATCGTGTCCGGCAAGCTGCAGCTGGATCTTTGCGAGGTTGCCAGCCTGGCGCAAAACATCTGAAGGAGCATCAACATCTGTATCCTGCGTCAAAAAGCAAATCAACTGATTCGGGGCCTTCGAGAACATCACCTGCTGCACGAGCTCTTTCGTGGCAGTTCTGTCCACCAGCGGAAAAGGCGCGCTGTCCAAAGAGGACAAGCGCGCCTTCTTCAAGTCCCACACCGCTCTGGGGTTCTCCCCAGAGGAAGCCTTTCTCTTGGGCTTCGCCTTGCCCTTTGGCTTTGGATCGCCTGAACAGAAAATGCAATCATGTGGTGCCACGAAATACTGGAGCTTCCAAAGATGCAAATCAATCATATTGTGAAGCCTCCAACGGCCGTCTCAGGGACTGTCGCTGGCAAGGAGCCAGGAGCTGGCGGAACTGGCTGAGCTTGGGAAACTGCAGGAGGAGCTGGCGGGGCAGCTTTGGCAGCGGAAGACAGGTTGGTTGATGGGGCAGGTGGCGCCCCGGTCAGCTGAGGATCGTAGCCCAACCTTATACAAATGGACTCAAAGCGGTAAGCAGATTTCGCACAGCCACGGAAAAGCCGCCAAGCTGCACTTTCACCAAGAGAGCCTTGGCCTCTGGCCGCTTATCCACCATGATCGGCACGATCTTGGAGCGAATGTCCTCGATCTTCGCGTGGCTGTCCTCCAAGCGGTGTTGCACGAGCAACTTGTACAGTTTGCCGTCCGACCGTGTCTGCAGGTTCGGGTCTTGTTTGTAGCCTCAGACAAGCACTCAAATCACAAAGAGAGCACACACTCCACCTGACTCCACCCACCATTCGATGCTTCCCAGCAACGGTTGTCCATTACCGCCTCTGCGATTGCAGCTCGTGCTTTCTGGACATTGTTGTGGTAGAAGGCAACGACGCCTTCAGCTGACAACCAGTCCGTCAGCTGGGTGTCCTTCCTGGGTGAAACAGTCTGATTAAGCTCCCATGCTCAATGCAACAGAAGCCACGTACAATGGAGGAATATCTGGCACAATAAGCTTGGGAGTGATTGCTCAGGGTTCAGAAGCATCTGGTATCTCACCTTTGGAGGCAAATCTATGGTAAGCCGGAAGCAAAACATTTTTTATGTATATATGCCCGGCTGAGCTCCTGACTGGCTGTGCTGCTCCGACATGATGATCTCGGCCGAGACATTGGCCACATTGGTGTCTTCGAACCATCGTCGGAGAAGGTCCTGCCTCACGGTGCCTTTTGCTTCCCAAGCCGCCAAAACCTCGAAACTGACTCTGTTCAGGTTTGCGCAGCAACGGCGGCAGCTCGGCGTGGTTTTGGCAACTTCGTCTGGCGTAGCCTGAGCTGACGAGGCTGCAATTCATCAATGAAACAAAGCAATCCAAATCCAAATCATCTCAAGTTGCGTCCTCCCACTTCTTCTGTCAGCTCCAAGGACTTTGGTGGAAGCGTCAGACGGGGCTTCGGAAGGGGTCGTCTCAGAGGGGGCTGTCCGGAGTTGGAAAGAGCTGGCCTGCAACTGGTCCACAGCAGGCGGCACGGAAGTAGCTTGGGGCGCCGGCGTGGAAACTGGTGTCTGGGACACAGCAGGCGGCACGGAAGTAGCTTCGGGCACAGGCGTGGAAACCGGAGTCTGGGACTGGGCAGGCGGCACGGAAGTAGCTTCAGGCACCGGTGCGGAAACCGGTGTCTGGGTACGCAGGCTGGCCTCGTCGAAGGCGCTCGAGCGCCTCAGCAGCGGCGTGGGCTCCTGGACCGTCGCCTGGAGCTTCTCCTCCTCCTTTCCAAGCTGGCGCTTCAACTCAAGCACCCGGGCCCTCGAGGCACTCAACAACGCCTCCGTCTCCGCACGGCGGCGAGCCTTCTCCTGCTCCTGCTTCACTCGTTCCTCCTCCGCTGCCTTTGCAAGAGCCTTCTGCTCTGCCTCTTCACGCGCCTTCTTTTCAGCAGCTTCACGAGCTTTCCGTTCCTCCGCTTCTCGGCAGAGCCGTGCCACCTCCTCGTGTTCCCGCCGCTGCTTCTCCAGCAGCACCTCCTCTTGCTTCTGCTTGAGAAGACGCTGGAGGTTCTGACTTTCCTCCTCCAAGCGCTGGAGCTCCAGCTTTTGCTGAAGCAGCTGTTCCTCACCAGGCTCCTCCGACCGCTGCTCCAAAACCTCTTCCACACGGATCTTCTTCGAAGGCCCTGTCTCCTCCGTCGCCGCGGAGCCCACCTCTGTGCTAACTTCGTCCAGCGAGCGCTTCGCTGGCTCCGGCTTCTTGGCTGCACACAACTCCAACTCGCGCAAAGCGGCGTCAGCCGCCTCTTCAGCCTCCTTGCGCTTTGCCAAGCGCTCAGCCTCCAGCCTTAACTCTTCATCCATCAACTCCTCCAGCTCTTTCTCGATGTCATCCATCTCCGCCCCGGGGTCCTGCGAGATATCGCAAGACTAAGCAAGTCCATCGCAGGGGTGCAGAATGGTGCAGAAGCAGGTGTGCAGAAGCTTGGAATTCATGTCTCAAAGCATAGTCCGGACACGTATGGAATAAAAGTGCCAGCCACAAATGCCGGAAACCGTGGGTTAACACCACATTCTAGACACAGTCATGACACCAACGACTGTATGATTGCGCAACATCGGTCCTCCTCCACCTGAGTCTCCTCAAACCCAGGCGGGGGTGGCTCAACGGCCATCGCTGCAGCCGGACTAGCAGCACGAGGAGCTTGAGCATCCTCTCCTGCCATGGCCACATCGATCAGCTTGAGTATATGTTTGTAGGCAACACCCACAAAGCATTCGAAACATAATAGTTACCCGTGAGCCTTCATCAAGGCCCAAGGACGAGGCACCGTCGGTCACCTTAGTATTAATGACGAGCCATGGGGACTGTAGCAACAACTTGTATCAACATTGAGCATGCCATGTCACGAAGTAGCTAAGTAGTTTGTTATTACTGATTGTTTCTGTGAGCGAAAAGTTTGTTTGTCCATATGTGCAAAGCTCTAAGTTCAAGGTTCAGGCGAGATTCCGAAGCTGCAGCTTCCAGCTCCTTCTTCACATCGAGAAATGTCATCCTGAGTCCCGCCTGCATGAAAAATCAGCAAAGGGTATGCATGGTTCAAGCTGATGCAAAAACCCCCTGGCCTGGCCAACCAAATCTTGATCCAGATGCTCGAGCCCAGCCATCAAGGTTGAGCAAGACCTGGGAGCGTATGCTTTAATTGGGTTTGTGCACAAGGCAACTGGCAAGCTGAGGAAGGTACCCCTGAGAGTCCAAAGTGGACATGGCCCCAATCACAGCTGGAGCTCGGAAAAGCTGAGATAAACATTCCAAGATCTTGAACATGACCATGGTAATATCATGATAATAAAATAATTACATTGTAGGAATTTTCGCGTACGGGCTTTGTACGGTCGTTTGTGTTGGGCCACATAAGCTTTGTACGAAACGTACGGGCTTCGTACGCTTTTTGTAC